CAGCCATCTCGGAATTTTTTGTGATGACGTCATCATTCTGATTAAATTTTTTAACGAAAGTGAAGAGTAACTATTTAGCCAAGTTCTGGTTACATTTGATATACATAGCATATGTAAAAGTGACTAAAAACATACATTTATTTCCCCTACCCCCATCTTAATTAGTCCAAAATATGATATTTTATGTCAAAATTTTAAAGTGCTATAAAAAAGTTGCCCAAGATCTAAGAATGGGGATTTTTTTTTCTGAGACACTATATGATATACTGATTCAGAAAAACCAAAAATAAATTTTTCTTTACTTTTTTCCCGCTAATTTCCTACTGCACCCAGGCTAAGTGAATCGAAGATGAATCAAGTGAATTGGCGATGATGGAACAAGTGAATCGGACGATAATAATCGCTGAATCCCAAAAGAAGGTAAGGTCTAGCTATGGTAGCCTAGGCCCAAAGAGCTGGAAGCATAGGCCTAGGCTAGTGAAGCACTAAGAAGTGGCTTAACGAGGCGTGAACTAAAAATGGCTAAGGTTGGAAGACCGTGTAAATTAGATGGAGATATTAATATGTTCAGGTCAACTCTGCCACAAGTCAACTCGGCCACAAATTAACTCGGCCACAAAAAGTTCGGCTTCAGTCAACTCGGCCACAAGTCAACTTGGCCACAAGTTAACTCGGCCACAAGTCAACTCGGCCACAAGTTATTTATAATTAAAATGAAATGTAAATCTCAGATTTTCATCCTTTTTCTTCAATATGATTGAAATGAAGTACACAGTATATTTTAGTAAAACAGGACCACCACACTACCAAAAGAGATTTGAATGCTATTGTTACGAATTAAAAAGAGTTATTTATAAATGTGTTCGTCTGCTTACTCACATTTTACTTCAACAATAATATTAAACAACAATAACGACAATAAATTAGTAATATTTACTTTAATAATACTAATTAGTCATTATGACGATAATAAAGGTGATAACAACAACAACATTAATAGTAATATTTATTTTAACAATATCATCATCGACGAATCACTTGATTCATCATCGAATCACTTGTTTCATCAAAGAATCACTTGAATCATCATCGAATCACTTGATTCATCATCGACGAATCACTTGATTCATCATCGACGAATCAACTGATTCATCGACGAATCACTTGATTCATCGACGAATCACTTGATTCATCGACGAATCACTTAATTCATCGACGAATCACTTGATTCATAGACGAATCACTTGATTCATCGACAAATCACTTGATTCATTAACGATCACTTGATTCATAATCGACGAATCACTTGGTTCATCATCGACGAATCACTTGATTCATCATCGAATCACTTGATTCATCATCGACGAATCACTTGATTCATCGACGAATCATTTGATTCATCGACGAATCACTTGATTCATCATCGACGAATCACTTGATTCATCATCGACGATTCACTTGATTCATCATCGAATTGTTGCCTGAACGGCGTTCCATATTAAACTGTTATATTTTCGAAACATTTAATCGACGCCCGACCACGCCCACTTCGCTCTCTTTGAGGCCCACCTAAAATTGTACCTTTCCCTCACTCGCTCCCCCTCCCCACCGATTTCAGACACTGGCGCCGCCACTGGTAAATGTTGAATATTTTTTATTTGCCTCCTAAGAATAACTGCACAATGAAGCACGCTAGTAAATATGCAGAACAATTTGAATAGAAAAAAATTAATTTTCTCATGCCTCTATATACGCCGTTTAGTATTAATAGTATTAATATTTTTCTTTCTACAATTTCAACCTATTACATTACCGGATTGTCTTCAGCTTTGTCTTGGAAGAGTTGGATTGCAACAGGTAACAACGTCGACTCTCTGTTAACAAAAAACAGAGCTATAGGACTACAAATCTATGAAAAGAATGACAGCACGTAAATATATTATGTTTTGTTATAGATTAAGACTATTTTTGCAACTTCTATTACTGTTCTATTTGGCTTGCAGTGGTAGTTATATATATATTATGCCCTGTTTCCCAAGTTTAAAAAAAACCTGCATCTCATTAACCGTTCCCGATTTTTTCGTCAAACACCATTTTTGTGTCTTAGAAACACAGAATCAGTTGAACAACATATCAACATTTTTTTTCTTTCGGAACATAGCTTTAAACAAAATTAATTCAATTATATCTATCCGATTTAAATGGTCCAGTGAAATTGAAATACCCAGTAGTTACCATAGATGCGAATGAAACAGGGATGAGCCTATGTTTCTATTACATTTTCTTTAAATTAAAATCGCCTTGGACAGTGAAGTAAAATTGAAATCATGCTTGTTTATAAATGAAATATAAATAGCTGGAATGCTATTTTATTCATTACACCTGCCGCTGACTGAGACATTAAAATATTATATAAAAATATCTTATAACCTTTCTATCTTGCTCTGTGCACTCAATATCTTTCGTCACTTTGAGATCTACAATGAACAACCGCTTCTTTTTAATAGCGTCCTCTATCGTCATTTGTTCAAGTAACGGTTGGAGCATTTCATTGGTTACAGCAAAGCTAGAAGCAATTACAATTCATTTTATAACAATTTCCTAATGTAAAATTTAAAAGGTTTAAAAATATAAATACATATACGAAAAATCTAAAGATATATTATTCAGCCTAAAACAAAATGTGGGTAACACTAACAAATATTCAAAATGGCTCTGCTATGTCATTTTAGTTAGCCATACAGTAGGTCTTTGTAACTCTTGAATTTCTTTTCATGATATTTTTTCGTTTGAATGTACTGTATATTGTTAATTTTATATTATGGCATAGCAATTACAATTACGTGACTTGGTCTATCTTACGAGCTGTTGTCATGTTTATTAATCTCTAATTACGTTCACATCAAAGCCCGGATGCGGTCCCTACCGGTGTCTGGACAGAAAATCGTGACAAATGGGTTCAGTGGTAAAGATTAGGACCGTTTACATCAAATTCGAACGATTTCTAATCCGGACTCCAGATCCGGAGTGATTTATGTGAGAGCCATTTGTATCAATCAGCAACAAGCTTAATTGGTTGGAAACCAATCGAACGCACGTACTTAACCTGAATAACCGTGTTCCGTGCGCGATGTGAACGCAGCTTTATGCTTTTGACACTTTTAGCCCTGGTTTTTATTAGAAGTTTCTAATGGAACACCAACCATGCACAAAGTTTTAGGTATCAAACAAAGATAGTATAACATTTTTGCCTGCAAATTAAAAGAATTTCGTAGTTTATATTACAAGATTTTTTTCCTCTTTGAATTGTAGAATGTTAAGACTTTTCTATTGTTTGGCGGATAGATTTTTCTAATATTGCATACTTTTCAGGAATTTCTGTGCACAGTCGTATTATTCCCGGATTACATCCCGTCAAACGCTGCTTCCCAAATTCAACATCTGATCTCCAGTGGTGCATTCCCTGTAAACAAACACATTAAAGAGATATTAGGCATAATAGATTAACATTGTGACAATTTTAGCCTACAGTGTAGGTTCGCATTTCTTAGTTTGTTCTATCAAGCATCTTTGTACATTTAAGAGGTAATTGGTTCTACAGATGTATAATTTATTGTCAGTTTTTTATATTTGTTTAGAATTCTGGAAGTCAGACAACATTGCATCTCAGTACTTTGTAGATGCTTGTTCAAAAAACGTCCTCTATATCACTATAATGATAAGTAAAGTTTAGATATTAACCACTAACTCGCAGCGTCAATGAACTACATATGCTCATAGGCGTCGGCATAACGCATATATTGGCAAAAGACAACCCCCCCCCCAAAAAAAACCCCCCGCATATATAGCTCTCTGGGATGGAGTTAGGGGGAGCTCTGAGCCCAAAGCCCAAATGACCCCAGCACTCCAATACAGATATTATTGTCCAGTAAAAAGACCGAAAGACCAAAAGCTAGCAAATTAAAACAATGTAGTCCCTACTAACAATTGTTGTTTTTAAAACTCACGTATGCTTTAATGACAACACTTCTTTTTATACAATACCGTAACACACCGTAGAATACATGAAATAAGTGGAACCCCTTAGCAGTTTCTTGCTCCGGGCCCAGTGACTCGTCATTACACCACTGAAGTCTGATTGGGCTATAACTTTTAAATATCATTAAGACCAGGAGCACATTATGGGATTGGACTAGGAACTATAGTAAAAGAAAAAAAAATACATGGTACAATAATATTTGAACTGCAGTGTACAACTATAAACATACTTACTTTAGGCACGGGATATCCTTTGCTGTTGTACACGTTCCCAAGATCATCAAGACTTTTCCAGCGAGATGTTGTAATTTTAAGAATTGCTCCGTCAATCGCGTCTGGTACTGCAGTAGTGACAAGCTTCCACTGAAGTACCAATAACATAGTACAATAGCCATAGTATAATGATAATGAGATACAAATAATAGCCGTAATAATAATGACAATAATAATAATAATAATAATAATAATAATAATAATAATAATAATAATAGCCGTAATAATGACAATATTAATAATAATAATAATAATAATAATAATAATAATAATAATAATATTAATAATAATAATAATACTAATAATAAAATAGTGATTATGATAATAAAATAGTGATTATGATGAAGCTTGTGCATTGCATTTTATGCGAGCATTCAGTTTCCCTCGTTGAAGGATAAATAAAGTTTTACTTTGTCTTTGATTTTGACTTGATGATGACGATTCTTTGAATTTGATTTGGCCTTTATGATTACGATGATGATAAAAAAAAAAAATAATAATAATAATTATTATTATTATGATAACTTTCGTCGCTTCTGTTAGTTCAGTAAAAGGCTATTAGAAAAAAATAATGTTTAACATAGTCGACACAAATATTATGAGAATATATTAAATGTGATAAAAATAAGCTCCCGTCGTAAAAGGAATCGGCCTCTGTCGAAACATTGGACCGCGGTCTGCAAACTCCCCCACCACTCGCTAAATTTATACAATGCCATCTTTGTATTCGTTATTATTGGACCATAACTTAAAATATAAGTTTAATAATTTCTAAATTAGGACCTTAATCATACCGTGTATTCATTAGAGAAACATTCGTCTTCTGGGAATTTTTTCACCTGAAAGAGAAACGTCAACCCGGAAACAGGTTTAGAGTTAGATGTGTTTGCAAAGTTCTGAACAACAATGACAATTTTTGATTGATTAATTTTAAATGATATTAATCACATTGATAAAATATCATGTATAACCTATTAAGTCGTCTTTTTGAGGTAGGCTTAATTTCGATGGGTCCAAATACATTTAAAATATTTGAATAGCGGAGTAAAGATATTTATCAAGAATAATTAAAGCAAATGACGGATCAA